CCTGGTGCAGCCTGTACAGACTCGTGCGTGTGTATGCGCGCGCGTGTATTAGAAATCACAAATGCCAGAATCACTTCATTTGGAGCTTCTCGAATGGAAACAGCACCACAGATTTTACCAGCAGTTAAAAAAAAACAACCCAGACACTTTTGACATTTTAATTCAAACCTTTCCCAGTAATACATTACTTGGGTGACTACAATTAGGTTGCTTTTTTGTCAGCTGACAGCTTTTAAAATATTATTTCGCTAGGGAAATAAAAGCTTCATCTCAGATTATAGGTGGGTATTTTTGGATTTATGTGATTTATGGTCACCATGACAACTAATGCTGAATGTTAGCTACCCTCCTGGCTGGGAAAAAAAATGCAGTGGCGGTGTTTTAATCAAAGTATTGTAAATAAGTGAATGCAACTTCCCCTACGTCCCGATGCGTCCCCACCCGGACTCGCCACTGCCCGCATTCAGGTAGAAGTGGTCCTAGGTTTTAGGGAAATGCTTCGCGATAGGGTCAGCAAGAATTTCAATCACATTTTTAGTTGGGTTCTATGTGTTCATATATTAAATATATTAATATATGAAGGGTGTTCATATTAAGAACCGTGGTTATTTTAATAAAATCTCGAATGGAGAATGGGGCCAACTTTACCTGATTTAGACAACCGAGATGGGGGAAGAGACAGCTTAACTGAAAGCCACACACAAGAAAGAAAAGGAACCCAACAGGGTCCCGGGAATTTAAGCGTTTGTTAAAGAAAAAAATGACTGTTGCTGGAGCTTTTATTCCATCTGAGCCTGACAACCAGGCAGTTCTGCGATTTAACAGATCAGAGCTTCAAATGCGTAAAATGGGTTTGTTGAGCGAATAGGAAAGAATCGTGCTGGAGTCATTTATATGCATAATTATTCTTGACGGTTCTAATAACAACAGGAAAAAGCTGACAATACCGAGAGCAAAATGGAGGGGATGGATCTTTATTTAATTAAGAAATTGGAATATCCTATGGGAAGGGGGAGAGACGTAAAAGGCAGCCAGAGAGAGATTCCAACTTGTAATCTGTAACAAATGCGTGTTAAAGGAGAGCACTGCTGGCCACACAGCCATTCTCTGAGTTCAGAGCAGAGTGTGTTTTGGGAGCTGGCCGTCTTGATTTTATTCTGAACTGAAGTGACAGATCCAAGGATCCACTCCTTTACGTTGTGGGGTGTTTCCTCGGACACGGGTTTGAACAGCTACAGCTAACAACCCTGGCAATGAGTAAGTCTATATGCATAATCGGTTGCTAAAGACAGCGTCAAAAACCGCAGGGCGTTTTGTCAGATCTAAAACACTCAGGGCCTTCTATCTTCCCTTCCCCCGCCCCCCATCCACCACCACCAACAAAAATCCTCCCCATAACCCCTCCCCCCCAAAAAAACCCCTTCAGTTAGAAGATAAAATAATTCGAATTAAGTGTCCTGTCCGGGGACCAGACATCGCATCTATGCTGAAGTTCCCTCGTGGCTTTGAGCGTGTTAGAGGAGTCCTGTGTACAAATTTGACCAGCGCAAAGCTGTGGCAGAAGCTAAAAATCATAATGATTTATGACCCAAAACAAGTTAGAATTCAACACAACATCCTATTACAGAGGAACCCACAAAGTGCATAATAAGTGCCTTTCAGCTTCCAAACCAGAAGGCTCTTCCTCTCGATCGCAGGATTCACAGGGAAACCACTGCATTTCTGCACTAACAAGACGCATCTTCAATAAAATAAAATAAAATAAAATAATGAAGGCTAACTCTCCCAAGCGCGCACACAGGCTCAGCCTGTACCCCGCAATAAAATTGGAACCATTCTTCCAGCCCTCCCGCTTTTGTTTGTCGTAGAACCAAAGGCTCTTGTCCATGAACCAGTCGTTCAAAGGTAATCTAGGTCTTCCCTCATTTTTTTTCCCCTCAAGCAGTTGTTTTTTATTTATAGTCCTGCAATGCAGAATTAGAAATCTCGGCTCCTCTCTGAGTCTCCAAGAAGTCAGTTTTGCACAACTTTGCAGTAGTTGTGCCCCTTCATATCTAACGCGGGGGAATGTCCCAGCCTTGCGCTGACAACAGCGACACTGGGACTCCTTGCTTTGTCCCTAGTGGAGTCCATTCATTAAGGAGGCTGGGGGGATTTATGAAGACAGGACCACAGTCTTACAGAGAGGTTAAGAAGAAACGCGGATATGATTAGTAAACAAATTGTGCAGAATGGAGCTGGTTTCATATTGACTTAGTTATAGGTCATCTCCTGCCGGTGCAAAGGGAGGAAATATTTACTTTACACATATACTTTATGATCTTGGGGGAATTAGAGGAAATTCAATAAGAAAACGGCTAGAATCATTTAAAACCCTCTATTTAAAAGACTTAAGCAAATTAGAGTCTTATCAGATTAAAATCCACTACAAATGTAAGAGCATTGTCTCCATCGAAACGCTGTGGGGTCTGAGGAAAGAGATTCTTTGCCAAATCTCAGGGATAAAAACACGTCATTTAAACACCAGATAATGAGCAGAATGTAAATTAATTTAACCTTCTTTACTAACAGACTGCTAAAGTAATATGGATAATTTAGTGATAAGTACGATTGCAAAGAAACGATACAAGGAGGGAGAGCACCAGCTAATAAGAAGGACCCAGCAAGGGGGGGGGGGGGGGGGGGGAATCTGGATATAAGGAAGGGGAACTGGGAAGATGTCTTTGGGTTTAAGAAGGGCCCAGTCTATGGGAAGTTCTTTGCAGCTTCCTCAATGTCTGGAAATGGGAAGAGGAATTTTGAGTAAAGGACCTTTGCACCCACGTTTTCAGTGTCTGGGCTAGTTCGTGCCATCCATTACTAATCAGGACCTCTCTCATCAAGGAGTAGAAAACCCGTGGCAAGCTCTGGAGCCTACCGACTTTTGTGGGGAGGGGGAGTTTTCTGGCGATCCAATCCAAAGGAGACAAGAGTGATAGATTTAAACCCATCGCATAGTTGTCTCTGGCTTTATCTGTGGGGCAGGCTCTTCTGATTGTAGAATCTTCCATTGAGCCGGATTACAAGGAAGGACAAACAATCCCACGGGGCTGGAACTGCCGAAGACCCTCACCCCCTATTTTTCTACTGCAAATCATTGACTCCAATATCACAGCCCTGCATAGTGCAACAGTATCACCGCGCCTGATAAATAATAGCACGGTTGCAACACCGAGAAAGGAGATTAGTGCCTGGGTTCAGAGCGGAGATACTGCCCAGGGTCACTAACTGGGTTGTGGTTTGGGGTTTGGGTTGAGAAAATAAAGCCATGTTCTGTCCTCGTTGCCTTGGGAGTTGGAGTTGAATCGTGCCAGGGGCGGGGGAAGGAGAAGGATTTGGTTCTGGTCGTGTGGGATTTCTGGATGGGTTTTGGACTGGAAATAGACCTCTGAAAAACGTCACCGGGTTCTTCTTAGTAGCCAGGTCTTTGGTGTAAAATGTACAGTGTAAATGGGGTTAGGAGAGACTGTCTGCACCTGGGCAGGGACAGGGGCAGGGCACCTCCCTTTACTTGGTGTTCTCGCTTCGTTTTGTTCCTCTCCAGTGGACAATGCGTGTCTTACTCGGCAGGGTGATGTGCTCTATATGGCAGGAAAAGGAAATGGCCTTAAAAAAAAGAATGGGCATTTGGAAAGTTTCCTTGTGAGGAGACTTTTGAACCCGCCCTGGACGGAAGGAGGCAGAAAGACAGAAATTGGCCTGTCTTCTTTCATTTGACGATCTCGCAAAGGCAGGATGAAGGCAAAGGCGGACTATTCAGCTTTCCAAAAGCACCAGTGAAGACTTCAATGCTGTCTACCATAAGGCATGGTCTTGCCTTCTGCCTTGCGAGCCATTTTCAAAGCTCGCCATGACTTGAAACGACCCCGCAGGGCTGTTCAAGGAGCATTGGGTCTCGACTCGCGTTCACCCTGGGCCGTGGGACTTGTGCTCTGCCTGCCGGGGAGCCCCTCGGGGAGCTGCGATGCTGAGCCCCCCAGGGGTGAGCTATCAGCATGGGCATGCCCCCCTGGCGACCCCGGGCTCGGCTGGGATGCCGAGTTAGGAGGCGGCCTTGCTCTTCCCCGCGATTCAAGGGCGGCTGGAGAAATTGGGTAGAAAAAAGCGAAGAGCCGGGGTGGGTCGGCTCTTCTCTGCCCTCCCTCGCCACGCCTCCTTTTGAGACAATTGTCTAGACACCAAATCACGCCGCTTCCCCGCCTGGCTCTGCAAAGGGATTACAAGTGATCTGGAGGAGCACTTGAACCCCCGGCGCACACCCCGAGAGGCACACGCCTGCCCGTGAGATCACCCCGCTTCCCCGCCCCAGGCCCCCGCGGCTGGCGGCCGGGGGCGGACAGGGTGCCGTAGCCC